CCCCCCCCCCCCCCCCCCCCCCCCCCCCCGACCCCAACTAAAACCCTATCACAAACCCTTTCTGCTCCCCAGGGAGTGTGAGGCCTTTCATAAGGGGTCACCCGAGTCTGTCATATCCTTTGGGATAGGGCCCAGGCCCACTCCCTGCTCTTCCCCTCCACCCAGCAGCAGCAGCTTACACCATTCCTAGAACCGTTTCCTTTTAATTCAGTGATTTGAGCCAGCTTTTATTTAGACCAAAGGGACAGACACCCAGACCTGGCAATTTCCCAGAGCCAGCACACCCATTCCGACTGGCCCACAGCTTCAGCCTGCCACATACGGCTTCAGCCCCCGCGTTGTGAGCAGTGATTGGCAATCGGCGCATGCAGTTTCTTCCATTTTCCCTTTCTCTTTAACAAAAAATTTGGTTTGGTTTGGTTTGAGTTTTTGCTTAGAATCCAGAGGTTGGACAACATTTGGACAAGTCTGACCGGAGCTTCAGTGTTCTTGGACTTGCTTTGGTGGTACACCTCCGACACCTGCTGGCGAAACTTCATCATTGCAACTCAAAGTTAAGCCCATAAGAGGCAAGGATGACCTTTGAGTATTTAATTTGAGGTAAATTATTGGATATGTTTGCATTTTAAGCTGTCAAATAAATTAATAAAAATGTTATTTATACTCTTTTAACTACTGCTACAACAATGGTGGGCAATATTATCATCCAGGAATTTAAAAATCTTTTTGCTTTTACTATGGATGGAATTTTAATGTTTTGTGTTTTGTTTTGTTTTGTTTTGTTTTGTTTTTAGACCAGGCTGGCCTTAAACTGACAGAAATCAACCTGCCTCTGCCTCCCAAGTGCTGTGATTAAAGGCGTGTGTCACCACCGCCAGGCCCCTTGGATGGAATTTTAAAAGAGGTAAACAACCAACCTGGGATGTATACACTCTTAGCCATAATGCCATAATTGCTTTTAGCTTGATAATCCATATCATATCCTTGAAAATGGTTTGATGAAAGATCTAAATGAGGAATTTATAGAAATGATACAGACTTTAAATACTGGCAATGAGGGCTTAGCAAAAAAGGATTCATGCAAGCCGGGTGTTGGTGGCACACGCCTTTAATCCCAGCACTCGGGAGGCAGAGGCAGGAGGATCTCTGTGAGTTCGAGGTCTACAAGAGCCAGTTCCAGGTCAGCCTCCAAAGTCACAGAGAAAGCCTGTCTCAAAAAAACAAAAAAAGGATTCATACAATTAAAACTAACAATCACAATTTGACAAAGAGAATTTACAAAGTGGAACGTGGTAATGCACTCTTAACAGAAACTTTACTCCATGTCTAAGAGTAATGACAAGCTTGCAGATAGAACATTATTTTTGGAAGGCAATCTGCATGCCATCCCTAAGAATGAGAATGTTAAATCTCTGGAATCATATGTAAATGATGAGAACAAGAAACTTATTGATTTAATGAAATTGTTGGAAGTTTTTACAGCTCAGGAAGTTAAAACGATTCAAGAAACAATGGTGAATAGATTACAGGCTATAGAAGACCTTAAAACTGATACACCAGGAGTTATGGTCAAACTCAAGGGAATAAAAACATTTTAATATTGCTAGTACCTTTCGGCATCAGAGATGACTTACCAAAGGTTGTTATCATCATCACCTACTATGGTCTATCTTGTTACTATTACTCAAAAACAAGCAAAGAATGATCACCCAGATGGATGTACAGAATGCAAATTGGAGCCTATACTGGTGAAAGATTTAAGAGGTATTAAGCAAGCGGTAGCTTTTTATGTGAGGCAGTTAGTAAAAGCATGGGCTACAAGAAATAGAGTAACTCCTAATGACTGGCTTCAATTAGTCTCAGCAGTTCTAGAACTTGCTCCACAGCTGCAGTGCAAGTGATATTGGAGGGAAGAGACCAAAGCCCTTGAACATCAAGGCAGAACACAGGTTATGGGGCTTCCCAAGATCAAATTCTTGGTGAGGGGCATTATGCTGATGCAGATACTCAAGCTCCATACAATGAGCACATCTTGTCCCTATGTGGTTCAGAAGCCTTGAATGCTTGGGACAAGATTCAAGAATCAGGGGAAAGAATTTTGTCATATACTAAGGTTATACAAGGCCCAAATGAGCCCTTTAGTGACTTTTTGCAAAGATTGACTAAAGCTGTACAAATAGGGGTAGCAGATCTAGAAGCTAAATGATTACTCATTAAATCTCTAGATTTTGAAAATGCTAATTTAGAATGCAAAAATGTACTTGGGCCCTTCAAAATCAGATCAGCACCAATGAATGAATAGATCCTACACATAGCCAGTGTTGAGTCTTTTGACTATAACACTCAGGCTTGGATAAGAGAAGCAATCTCCAAAGGTATAAGGAGACATCAAAATACCAAATGTTTTCATTGTGGTAGAAAAGGCCATCTGAAAAGAAATTGTAGACAGGGAATACCTAGAAATAATGCTTCTTCTGGGAATAACCCAAATAGAAGACCCCAACCTTTCAGATTATGTAGAAGATGCAGCAAAACCAACAATGGACCAAAAAATGTAGATGGACAAGAGACAAACAAGGCAACCCCTTTCCATTGAAAAACTCCTTGAGGGGCCTCTTGAAGGCTCCATGTCAAAATTGGTCCAGTCATTCCCAATCACTGTGGAGGACAATCTTCCCCAGAACAATTAGAAAATCCATTGCCTATTGTAAAAAATCAAATTGTACTGGATGATAGAATAGCTTTGGAAGATGAATCAAAAATTCAAGGAGGAAATAGAAAACATATATTTTGGCAGACTTCTATAAGTGGCCAAAGACCAAAAACGAAGAATACAAATAGATAATGTTATACTCAAAGGATTATTGGGCACAGGTGCAGTTGTCACCATTATCACTCCAGAATCTTGGCATCCAAGTTGGCCTCTTCAGGAGGTAGATGTTCATTTCTTATGGATTGGAACTCTATCTGAGGTAATACAAAGCACAA